AAACAAACAAACAAACAAAAAAGCCAAAATTAAAAAAAAATATTTTTAAAAACAGTTTTGTTTTGGTTTTGGTACTGGGGATTGAACTTGGTACTTTGCACTTTTGAGGTAGGCGGCGGCACCACTGAGCTAAATCCCCAACCCAAAATTTTGAACAAGGTTTCTTTAAGTTGCCTAGGCTGGGCAGCTTGAATTTGCAATCCTCCTGCTTTAGCCTCCCAGGTATGTGCCAGTATGTCCAGCTAAAAAAACATTTATTGTTCTGTGTTACTTATCTGCAGTAGGTTTTGATTCCTGCTCGGTGCTATAGTGCAAGGCTGAGGGAGAAAAAAAAAAGGAAGTAAAGAGACAGAGAAACCAGAGAGCCAGAACAAACAATGTTGGTGCAACCAGCAAAGGCACTGGTCAGTCCAAGCCACTAATTTTTATTGGTAATCAACTGGGGTAAAGGTGAACTATAGGCTAAAGGTGAACTGCATGTGAGGACAAGCAGTTGTGCAGTTACTATGGATACTAATGTAAACAAGGCTTGTAAAGAACAGGACAAAGCATTCTTGAATTAAGAATAGAATAGACAAAATATAGGGTTGAAGTTAGATCATTGTCCTTCTAGTTAAGAAGGTTTGAATTGTGGGAACAGAATTTGGGCACGAATTACTCTACACTTGATCTTAGCCAAAAGACCGAGAAGGATGGGTGTGAGTTACTCTGACCTCACTGGGCTTATAGTCTTCAGCTGGACTTTCTTCTCAAAACAAGACAATTAAGGGGTTTACTCTTTACAGCCTGCATTGCTTATAGCTAGCTTTGGGTATAATTGACATTGTGGTCCCCTACAGTTACTAGTTCTATAATCTCTGATATCTTTATGCCATTTTTTGTTAATTGGTTTTTCTCCTTATAATGGCTTGTGTCTTTCTACTTCCTTGAATGCCTTGTAATTTTTAATTGTTTACTATACATTAACTTCATCTGATGGTGTGTGTATATCTTTGTGTTCCTATGATCCTATGTTAGGTTGAAGTTGCATGGAAATAATTTGTTCCTTTTGGGTTTTGCTGTTATAATTTTTGGTGGATTCAAAGTATAATTGAGTCATGTAAATTTTATCTACTACTGAGGCAAAATTCCTTTAAGTCCTCTATCTGATGATGTCTTATGAATTTTCAGCTTTTTTGTGGTGGCTTTTGGAGATGGGCAATATTTCTAATCCTATGTGAACTCTGACGATCATTCTATTTAACTCTTTCATGGGGTTCTTTTCCTGGCCTCAGGTGGTTTTCCAATATTCACTTGTCACCATTCACTTGAATTTTTGATGGTGAATTTCTACTGATTTCTGACGTATGTAGCTCTTGCAGTACTTGTTTTGTGAACGCTGGCTGTCTTAGCCTCCCTAGACTCCCAGATAGTGTTCTCTCCACAACTCAGTGGAACCTTTAGGCTCTGCCTAGATTTCCCTTTCCTCTACTATAGCAGAAGTATAGGAGGCATGTGTACAAAGTGACCATGGTGTTGGGGATGGAGGTTAGGCATGCATGGATATTGCAACCAATGCTGATTTGGCTATGAACATTGTTGAGTTTTGAGCCTGCTGATAGCCATAATACTGGCTAGAAGAAAACACCTTGTGAAGGTAGGATATTGTTCTAGTCAATATTTGTCTTACTCATTTTCCTCATTGCTGAGATGTAGAAGCCAACATCCACAACTTGAAAGAGAGATTTATTTTGCCTCCTGGTTTCAGAAGTTTCAGTCCATGTTGGCAGGCTCCATGACAGAAACGGCATGGTAGAAGGGCTGCAGCAGAGGAGAGCTGTTCACATCAAGTGGGCCAGGAAACAGAAAGGATGGAGGAGCTGGGAAGGAAGATATATCCTTCCGAATCATAACTCCTATGATCCTTCTCTCCAAACCAGACGCTCCCTCCTAATAGCAAATCAGCTACACTGCCCCCACGACTCAATCACTTTCTGAATGACCTACCTATGAGCACATGAGGCCTTTGGGGGACACTCCCCACCCAAACCATAAAAATATATGTTGCAGTTTCTCCCTAACTAGGAAAAATGAAGCCAAGAATCAAGGGGTGGAGGTAGAAGTGGAACCTATCACTACAACACATAATGACCCACTTGCAAAACCTTGTCTTCTACGCTCTGTTGTAGGTGCTGCTTCTTTAGAGGCCCTCAAATGCTTGGAATTTGAGTTATTCCCTAACAATACTATGACCAGGGTAAAAGTTCATAAAAAACTAGCTATCTTATAAGGGAATTTCATCTTTACTCAGCATGGGCTATCATTTTTTCCCATGCATCTACAAGTCATTTTATCATTAGGCAATAGGTATTGAATTTTCTGTACCCTTGTACCTATTATTTCTTCCATAAGTCCCTCTCAAGTGAAACACTGTAACTGCAGTACAGCCCCTTCCTTATGTACACATCCTTGATTCTCCACCTTGTAAGTCTGACCCTCAAAAAGTGCTTGGATAAGGTTTCTACCTTGCTGGTGGGGTGGTGAGTGATGCAGCTCCCAAATCCTATTTGATCGCTTACTCTTTAAAACTTTTTCCAGATCCAACAGCAGCAAGCTGGATTGTCTGTGAACAGGTGCTGAACCAGAGACGGAGGTGCAAGACGTTTACTGGGCATCAAGAAAGGAAGCACACAGAAGCAGGACTGAAGTTGAGGAGGGAAAAGAAGTTGAACTGCTATGCAGGCCAGGCAAAACCTTGACAATCTAATGGCAAATTCAGAGGAAGTTTCCCAGCAGCTTCTGACATGAAGCAGAAACCACTGTACTCTTATCTCCCACCTTGCTCAATCACCAGATGCAGGCCACTCCCAGAAGGGCATGTCTTTTAATAGTTGGGACTGAGGCTGAGGAGCTGAAAGCCACCCTACTGATCACTCGCTGTCCTCCCTGTCCTCAAGGGACATCTGGATGATGCCTCCATTCTGTCTACAATTTTATATATGTGCCAAATTCTGTAAATGATGCACTCCTGGAATTTTCCCACTTTGGAGCAATTATGAATTATGTAGATTAGGAACATTTTTGTACAAAAGTTACTGTGACTAAATGCTTTTACTTCATCAAATATCTAAGGTTGGAATTGCAGGGTCATAAACTAAATTGTATATTTAGTTTTATTAGAAATTACTAAAGTGGTTGTATCATTTTATGCTCCAGTCAGCAATGTATGGTAATTCTGGTTGTGTAAGTCCATACAAAGATTTAGAGTCCTTAATTTCTTTAATTTTACCTCTTCTGGTAGGTATGTAGTGTCTTAGTTTGTTTTGTGCTACTATAACAGAATACCTGAGACTGTAACTTATTTTTTAAAAATTCCAAATTTATTTCTTATAGTTCTGGAGGCTTGGAGGTCTTAAGAGATCAGCCTGCATCTGGTGAGAGCTTTTTTACTGTCATCCCATGGCAGAAGGTTGAAAAGCAAGTGAAGTGTGCATGCCTATACACATACTTACACACTAGAAACAGAGAAATGGGGGAGGGGAAGGAGGGATGGGGACTTCTTTTGGAAACTACTTCGATGATAATTAACCCACTTCTAAGATAGGGAATTAAGATATCCATGAGGGCACAAACGTCATGGCCTAACATCCCTTAAAGATGCCACCTCTCAACATTGTTGCAGCAATGAATGAACTTCAGGGGACATATTCAAGCCATAGCATGTGGCATCTTGTTTCACTTTTTAATTTTGCAATTCCTTGGTGACAAATGATGTCAATCACTTTTTCCAGTACTTATTGACCATTTGTGTATTTTGTGAAATGCCTATTCTCTCTTTCCCATTTTATTCTTTCAGTTGTTTTAACCATACCAGTCGGACTTCTACTGCCATTCCTTCACTTCTCTATCCTCTATTTTTTTGTTGTCCTAAGCCATTATTTCTCCTTTTACTTCTTTTCAGTATCACCAGAGATCCTTGCCAATGACCCATCCTCAGGGCCCAATCCACATGTCTTTTTTGCACACTGAGTGTTCCTAGAAGAGGGTTTCATGACCTGCTGTAACTGCCATCACTTTAAGCCTTTATGAATAAGTGTGAGGGAAAAGAAGTGAGCAGGGTGTGCAAGAGTGGCTGGATATGTCCCCTACACATTGTGTGTGTGTGTGTGTGTGTGTGTATTTCAGGTTGTTTTTTTTACAATACGGGTTAACAATGTATAGCACCCAATCAAGAATTACAAGGCATTCAAGGAAGTAGAAAGACATAAGGCATAAGGAGAAAAATGAATTAACAAAAAAATGGCATAAAGATATCCAAGATTATAGAATTAGTAACTGTTGGGGACCGAAATGTTACAAACTACATTTTTTTTTTTTGGCAGTATTGGGGATTAAACCCAGGGTCTTCCCACTGAGCTTCTTCCCTGAACTCTCCACCCTTTAAATTTTTTTTTTATACCAGTCTTGCTTAGTCCTGAAGTTGCCCAGGCAGGTCTTGAAGATTCTTCTGCCTCTGCCTCCCAGAGTACAGGTTTTACCAGCTTACAAAGCCTGTAATGTCTTAAAAACCCACTTTTATTTAAAAGGAAGATTTGTGGAACAACTATACTGGATGTGGTTCCATAGGTCTTTATCTAAATAAGGTCTAGCACTAAAATAATTATGTTAATTTTAGACTTTGAGGGTTCTTTTTAAAGTACCACTTAAGATCTATATAATAACATATTAAATATAGAGAAATTGTTTTAGCTAAAGAATAAATTAGAAAGTTCACCAGAAACAAAAGAGCTGATTTTACTTTGGGTAATTGATTCGGAGCATTAAGTCCAAAGACATTTTGATAATTTCTACATTGTTCTCCTAAATGAAAACAAATACAAAGCTATTACAATGCTGCTTGGTTGTTTCTCAGCCCAGGGAGTTACAACTTTTCATAAATACGGTTGCTGGTTATATTCTTAATTCTAAAATTTGAATCCAACACCCAAAAAAGTAAAGCATGTGATTTATAAGTATTTTATTATTTGAGAAATTTTGAGAAATGACCAAACTGTAGCACATCAGAAAACTGGGACCAGTTTTAACAATTTGAAAACTTTAAACTGTAGATTTGTTTTAAAATTAACTTCCAAACAAAACAGGGTGAAAACAACATAAATGTATACTACACTGCTGAAGAAGCCACACTTGCCAAGACGTCTTCAGAGCAAGTTTCTTTGTACTTGCTTCTTTGAAGAGTCAAGAGGTCATTATATGCTGGTCACCAACAGCCACCTTACAAATAGGACCTAGGGGTAAAGTCACTCTCAGTGTTTGCCCTGCTCATGTGAACCGTGCTTTCGCACCCTAATCCCAGGACCACAGCCTCAGTGCCTGCTGGGACGTGAGTCGCACTTGTCCCGGGAACCCCGCTTCCCCGGAGGAGAGTAGCCCACAGAGCCGCGGGCGTGCAGGCTGTGCTTGTAGGGATGGCTTCTATGCTTCTTGGGGTTCGCTTCTTTCTGGTCCTGGCTTTTTGCAGCTTCCTTAGTACCCTCTTTTTGTTCGTTGTCTTGCTCTTTATGGGAGGGCAATGTGTTCTTAATTGTGTTAATTAGGAATCTTTTATTTGTACCTGCAAGAGGACACTTCATCCTGAGGGAGGGAGAAAAGGAAAACACCATCATTAATAAAGAGCTAACTCCCAAGCCGAGTACACCGTCTTGATTACTACCAGAGAATTTGCCTTGTGCAGAATCAAGTTGCTGAGTTTGTTTGGCTTTCCTTGCATGCCATCTAGTGTAAACTCAGAGTACAAGGCGATGTCAAGACATTCAGAATTCCTGAGACAGGCTGATGCCTGCCACAAACCTTCCAACCTTTCTTCCTTTTTGGTACTAAATTTTCTGTAAACTTAATGTACAGGTATTGCCCACAATTCCAACTGGTTGAATTATTTAATATTTTTCCTTTACACAAACAAATATCTGATTTGACTACATTCTGACTCCAATTAAACTTATTGTGGCTTGCTTTTTATTACCAAAGAATGAAAATGTCTCTTGCCAAGCAACAAAAAAGTATAATCTGGTACATCTTAAACACTGAAACTAAGTGATCTACTCTAGAAATAAAATTTTGTGTAAGGAACCCATAAATATGCAATAATCTCTTTTTTACTTAAAGACTTCCACTCTCAGGAATCTAGTCTGCTCTGTGAGGAGCACTTTACTTACTCTCCCACCTCGGGTGGTTTTCTGTGCAGTGTGTATTTAAATAGCTTCACAATTCAAGTTTACCCAGGAGAGAGATTGTAACTAAACAATTTATATGCTTAGAAATAATTATATACCACAGCAGTTATAATTTTTTAGGTGTGGTAGCACTTTCATTTTGGTAAGGGAACTCCACACAAATGAAATCTGCTGCTATGAGATAGGCTATTTTAGGAGTATGCTGATCTCCCAAATCACATTATTCAGGGTGGTTAGTATTAAAGAAAAATGAATAATATCCATCTTTCTATTAAACTTTGATTTACAAAGAATCCTACACAATACAGATGGTCTCTGACTTGTGTTTTGACTTCTGATTTTTCAACTGTATGATGCTGTGAAACCAATACTTACTCGGTAGAAACCATACTTCAAATTTTGATTCAAAATTATTTATATCTTTATTACAAAATAGGCTTTGTATTAGGCGATTCTGCCCTACTATAGGCTAATGAGTTCTGAACCTGTGTAAGGAAGGCTTACTTAAGCTATGATATTCCAAAAGTTAAGTAGTAACTGCATTTTTGACTTATGATAGGTTTATTGGAATGTAGCCCCCTGTAAATTGAGGATCATCTGTGTGTCAAAATCAATCCATAGCACTCTATTATAGTAATTGTATAGTCTAGTACGGTACGGTGAAAGCTAACAGTCATCAGTGTAGCTTCAATTATATGGGGGTCAGACTACCTCAGGAAACCAGAATGGCACTGACACTCTAAGTAAAAGGAGGGAGTGGGGAGTAAAAGCAGGGAGTAGCTCTTGAGCTCAGAAGGACAGAGGAAATATTTGGGAAAAAGCAAAGTTAAATCTCAGTGTGCTGTGCCTGGTTAATGCTTAGGCCAGGAAAAGAAGCAGTGGGATGGATTAGAGTAAGGAGGAAAAGACACTACAGAGAAAAGAACAGTATACTACAGAAGCCACAGGAATGTTCAGAGGCAGTGACAATCCTGGAGTTTAGCAGCCTCAGGGAATGAGAAGAGGAGCACAGTGCAAAGGCAGTAACAAAGGGCAAAGAAAAAACAAAAAAAGAAAAAACAGTTCGGCAAACTGGAGGGTACAAAACTATTGAGCTCCCTAAAGTGAACTTCCAGAAAAAGTATACCAACATTACACTTGCCTACTAGTCCCAAGGTGATGACATTTGTGCCTCCTGGAGGCACATCAAATGAGGGGGCCCGTGGGCCAGGGATTTAACTCATAACACTGGGCCTGCCTTGCATGTGCAAGGTCCTGAGTTTGATCCCTGGTACCCCCCCCAATTTTTTTTTTAAATGATGGGACCCCTGAGTAGGAAAGAGCAGGCAAGGACCCCTGAGTCCAGCCTGCCATGGCCTGACAGGGTTTTACTGAACCAGGTGCTGCTTTGCTGCAAACATGAAAGTCACTGCAGGTGCAAACTCAGCAATGACTCAACAGAGTACTATACACCAGTATGCTCCAAAGCAGCAGTCTTGACAGCCTACAGGAGAAACTACCTTTAACATGAGTGGAAAGTACTAAGCTTGGAGTGTCCCTCTGTGCCAACAGTGGCCTAGTGCTTACTGCAGGAGTGAACTCATTTTTATTAGCAAATGGACCACACTGGTCTCTTGGATATACAGTGTTAGGAACAGCTAGCTATAGAAGAATTCTGGGGCATTTTTACTGGAGTGGACTATCTCAGTTCTGATAAAACTCATCAGTTCTTCTCTGGATGAAATGACAAAGAAAGGTGACTATTCCCAGAAGGAATCTCAAAATAAAATCTTTGTCAGGCATGGTGGCACACACCTGTAGCTTAGCACTCTGGAGGCTGAGGCAGGAGGAATGCCGTAAGTTCAAGACCAGCCTGGACTACAAAGTGAGTTTGGGTCCAACCTGAACTACAAAGCAAGACTCTACCTCAGAAAAAACAAAAAAACAAAACAAAAAACACTCCACCTAAATCTTTGTAAATTCTTGGTAAATTCCACTAGATTTTGCCATCTTTGATGTCAGATCATCTTTAAACCAGATTTACGCAAGGTAAGCAGAGATCTGCCACAGAACTCAGTGCTCACTCTAAGAGCAGCGAGTGTGATAAGACCTTTCCCACCTTCCACCTGCTATCATAACCCTCCACCCCAACATGCTGACCACGACAATGATGCAGAGGATGGGACAGTTTTCTAGAACAATCCCATAAGACAAGTGGCATTTACGTCTCCTTTTCATGTTAAAGACCTAATTTAAGAATTTCTTGACATAGTAATTGTACATATTTATGGGATCTAGTGTCATATTTTCATACATAGACACAATGTGTAATGATCAAACCAGGGTAATGAACATATCTATCATCTCAAATCTTTATTATTTCTTCATGTTGGGGATCATTCAAAAGCCCTTCTACTATTTTGAAATTACTAACTATAGCAAATCAGCTGTATAGAACACTAGACCTCATTCCTCCTATCTAACTATATTTTTGTACCCATTAACTAATTTCTATTACCCACTGGCCCCAGCTCCCTACCCTTTCCAGCCTCTGGTAGTCACAACTCTACTTCTGTGAGATCAACTTTTTTAGCTTCCATGTATAAGTTTCTGGCTGATTTCATTTAACATAATGTCCTCCATACTCTTCTGCGCTGCTGCAAATGACAAGAGTTTTACTCTTCTTTTTTTTTTTTTTTTTTTTTTTTTTTTTTTTTTTTTTTTT